CGCCTGAGACATCCTCACAATATCTGGATATTGGAAGAGTTGTCTTACGACCCGAATTCTCAAATTGAAGCTTTCGCCTGATACACCCTCAGAGGTTGGAGGCCGGTCTTCGGATATTCAGCATTGCGTGTGTGGGGGGGGAGGGGCGTTTCGCCTGAGACATCCTCACACAATGGGAATGGTGGAAGAGTTGATTTACGTCATTGGTTCACCTAGTAGTGAAGCTCTCGCTTGACACATCCCCAGGAAAACGATATGTTGTAGATCGGGCGTTGCTAGAAGACTTGTCTTACGACCCGAATTCTCAAAATGAAGCTTTCGCCTTGGACATCCTCAGAAACGTGAAAATGTTGGAGATCGGGCGTCCGACATCCAACACAGCGTGGGAGGGCGTTTCGCCTGAGACATCCTCACAAAGTGGCGATGTTGGACAAGTTGTTGTAGGACGCTTTGTTCTGAAAAAAAGAAGCGCTCGCCTTAGACATCATCAGGAAATGAAAAGGATATCCAACATGGTGTGGAGGAGCGTTTCGCCTGAGACGCCATCGCACCATTGGGGTGCTGGCGGAGTTGTGTTACGACGTTGGTCCTCAGAAACACTTACCCGTTCGCTTAAGATGTATTTAGGAAGTTGAGATGTTGAACGTGGGCATTGGATATCAAACTCGGTGTGGCTGGACGTTTCGCTGCGGACATCCTCAGAAACATGTTCAGTAAGCTCCCGAACTCGACGCGCCTTCAAGAGCTGGGCTCTCGTCCGAGACATCCTCAGTGAGGATGTCTCGGACAAGAGCCCATGTGTGAGGATTCCTCACAAATGGAAGCGTCACCAGAGAAGTCTGACAGCAGATTACTTGACATGAACTCCTTACTAGGTTCGTGGGCCCCTCAAACTTTCAGCATCTTGACGCACATGCCTCGCAGTGCGGTGCCCGCCTACTGTGAGCCATGACGCGGGGCAATGGGGAGGCCAGGCGCCCTCCGCACATGTCAATCGCACATGCCAGACACTCTCACCAAGAAGCTTGTCGCGGGGGGGCGCAACCAGGGGCCCTCCAGAAGGGCCCCCGTGGGCCATGGGGTTCACCGAACGATTTCGGGCCAAAACCCTCCCCGGCACCTCCCCGGCACCGGCGTCAGGGTTGCCCCTCACGGCACCCCGGGCGACCCCGGCACCCGGGCGACCCCGGCACCCGGGAGCCCCCCTGGGCGACCCCGGCACCCAGGTTTCCCCTGGCACCCTCCCCCTTGGGAGCGCTGGTTCTCAAACTGCTCCTGCCCTCGCCATTCCTCCCTGTCCCGTGCCCTTCCTCCTTCTCCTCCTCCTCCTGCGCCCCTCCCTCCTCCACTTCCCCCTTCCTCCTCTCCCTCTGACGCCTCCCCCCGCCATCCCATTGTGCAAAAATATCCTGGCGAGATGATATATTGTGAATGCCGTCGTTGTGAGCATCGCCCTCGGTAAGCTCCCTGTGGAGCCACGAGCCGTGTGAGCGGTGTGCCGTAATGGAGGCGGCGGTGCCATGCGGACCCTGCCACTGGGGCTTTCGGCGGAGCTCCCTAGCCACGAACCGTGCGAGCGCTGTGCCGACATGGAGGCGGCGGTGCCATGCGAACCCTGCCCTGCCACTGGGGCCTTCGGCGGAGCTCCCTATGGGGCCACGAACCGTGTGACGAGTATGCCGACATGGAGGCGGCGGTGCCATTCGAACCTGGTCACTGGGGCCTTCGGCGGAGCTCCCTGTGTGGCCACGAACTGTGAGCGGTGTGCCGAGATGGAGGCGGCGGTGTCATGCGAACCCTGCCACCAGGGCCATCGGCGGAGCTCCCTATGGAGCCACGAACCGCGTGACCGGTGTGCCGACATGGAGGCGGCGGTGCCATACGAACCCTGCCACCAGGGCCATCGGCGGAACGCCCTGTGGGGTCACGAACCGTGTGAGTGGTGTGCCAAAATGGGAGCGGCGGTGCCTTGCGAACCCTGCCACTGGGGCCTTCGGCGGAGCTCCCTACGGGGCCACGAAATTTGTGAGGTGTGCCGAAATGGAGGCGGCGGTGCAATGCGAACCTTGCCACTGGGGCCTTCGGCGGAGCTCCCTATGGGGCCACGAACCGTGTGACGGGTGTGCCGACATGGAGGCGGCGGTGCCATGCGAACCCTGCCCTGCCACTGGGGCCTTCGGCGGAGCTCCCTATGGGGCTACGAGCCGTGTGACGGGTGTGCCGAGGTGGAGGCGGCGGTGCCATGCGGACCCTGCCACTGGGGCCTTCGGCGGCGCTCCCGATGGGGCCACGAGCCGTGTGAGCGGTGTGCCAACATGGAGGCGGCGGTGCCATGCGAACCCTGCCACTGGGGCCATCGGCGGAGCTCCTTCTGGGGCCACGAACCGTGTGACGGGTGTGCCGACATGGAAGCGGCGGTGCCATGCGAACCCTGCCACTGGGGTCTTCGGCGGAGCTCCTTCTGGGGCCACGAACCGTGTGAGCGGTGTGCCGAAATGGAGGCGGCGGTGCCATGCGAACCCTGCCATCGAGGCCATCGGGGAAGCTCCCTATGGTCCCTATGGGGCCACGAACCGTGTCAGGGGTGTGCCGAAATTTAGGCGGCGGTGCTATGTGAACCCTGCCACTGGGGCTTTCGGCGGAGCTCCCTATGGGCCCGCGAAACATTTGAGGGGTGTGCCGAAATAAGCATGCGGAAGCAGCGGCCACTTCAGGTCACGGCATCTCGGAGCCGAGAGATCCGACGACGTGTCAAGCGAAATGGGCTGGACCACCTCTCGTGTAGCGTCTGGGAGCCCAGAATTGCGAGGATGTCTCAGGAGGAGCGGGCCGGACTATCGCAGATCCGGTCTCCTCAAAACGCAAACTTGTGACGATCTATCATGCGAAACGGGCTGGACCACCTCAGCATTTGGATCATATCTCGACGCGCGGGCCTCTCGGGCGGCACTCGTTCTTACCATACCAACGCCCCCCGGCACCGGCTGGGCGACCCGGGGACGCTCCACAACAAATCCTTTATGCCACCAACAAACGGGAACCTCCTATATAAATCCAACATCAATGTTTATATTTCCTCATTGCGAGACAAACATCAATAAACACTTGTCATAAAGATCAAGAAACTCTTCCCGACATGTTTACAACAATGTTTGCTTGATCCGCAACGGTGATGGCAAACTGATTGAGCCGCTAAGGCCGCACCGCAGAACATTTCTTGGTAGGCGTCGCAACTCGCTGGGGGATTGGCGACTCTGCTGTCCAGTGGTTTCGTAACTCATCGACTTGCTTTTCGATCGATTTCGCAACTCATCGATTCCGATTTCGATTGGATTGGCATATGCCAGGGCGCACTCAATATTTCGCACCTGTTCAAGAATGTTCTGGGGCGCGCTGTCTAGGTTTCGCAATTGACCAGACCGGTTCAGGATTAGGACTCTTTCAGCGGGGAACCGCGCGCAACTCTGAAATGTGGACGTCCGAAGACAGCGAGGGGTACTTCGATAGGCGATCGCGCCTACTGGCGCGCGCCCACACACTGCGCTCAAGCCGAGTCAATCAGATGTTGGCATAAGTGGTCATGATGGGTATACCACAAGTCTCAGGCTCTTCTGGTCTCAACCATGGGGGAAGGGGCGGAACTTGCAGGAAAGTTCGGTGGCAACTCACGGGAGCCTCCCATACCACCTTATCGGCTCTAGCGAATCGACGCTAATCGACGCTAGTCGACACTAATCGACGCAAAAGCGACGCTAAATCGACGCTAATCGACGCTGAATCGGCACATCTCCTCGACTCCCAGACGCTAATAGACGCTAGTCGACGCTGAAGACGGAATTAGACGCTAGTCGACGCTAGTAGACGCTAGTCGACGCTAATAGATGCTAGTCGACGCTGAAGAGGGTACATCAAGCTCCCATGACTTGCCACCGAAGGAAAGAGAGAAGAGTCGGCGCAGCGGCAGGGAACCAGCAGCAACAACAACAAAAAGTGGGAGCGGCCCTGCGGGCAGGCCACGAGCACGACGTCGGAGAAGCCCGGATCTCGCAGCAGGCGCTCCATGTGCCCAGCGAGAGTCGCCATCGGGGGTAAGGGGGGGGGAGGGGGCGGGAGGGAGGGGGAGGAGAAGGAAGAGGGGGAGACGAGCAAGGAGGGGGAGAACCAGGATTGGAAAGGGGGAGGGGGAATCAGGAAGGAAGTCAGAATTAGGAGAAAGAGATAGGCGGGGGAGGAGAACGAGGAGAAGGAGGAGGAGGAGGAAGAAGAGCGGGGGTCGAAGGGACAAGGCAGAGAGAGCGCGCACGATCGCGAGCGGCGACTGCCGTGTGCAGTGCGGGAGGTCTGGGCCGCAACGGCCTCGGGTTCGCCACTGCCGCAGCAACCGTCGTCGCGTTCGTGCTCATGGTTTTTCCCCGCTTGGGCAACAAACACCAAAAATACTCAAAAATACTTTAAACAAATCGTCCCCTGACTACTCTTGAATATTCCTCCTGTAGAGAGGGACACGCCCGACTTGAGGCTGTTTCTGGAATGCTCGCCCCAAGGGTGACCATTTCTTGACTACTCTTGACTATTCTTGACGTCCCCAAACTATTATTGGAAATACATCAGAAAGTCGTCCCCAAACTATTTCTTGACTTTTCTTGAATTTTCTTGAATGTTCCTCCTGTTTCTGGAAATGCTCGCCCCGAGGGTGAGCTGGCCTGTGGTTCGCAGTGCCAGTCGCCCGCCGGCGGTGCCCAGCGCCGGAGCTTCCGAGCAGAGCCGCGCCAAGGGCCTGGCCAGCACCGCCCGTCCCGAACCTCCGAGCCGGAGAAGGGTAATCGTGTGGGGGAGGAGGAGGAGGAGGAGGAGGAGGAGGAGGAGGAGGAGGAGGAGGAGGAGGAGGAGGAGGAGGAGGAGGAGATGGAGGAGGAGACGGAGGAGACGGAGGAGGAGGAGGAGGAGGAGGAGGAGGAGGAGGAGGAGGAGGAAGTGCACCCGCAAGGAACGATTCTTTTGGCTGGCTGTCGCGAGTTCGCAGACGCACTGGCAGCCCTGGAGTAGGGCGCCTCTCCAAACCAAGCCGCAATGCGCGCAGAAAGGTTATCTTCGTGGCCCTGGAATGGCCAAGACCGATCAGAAGATGGGGCGATCCAGGTCAGGCCAGAGGTTCTCCTCGATAGGGGGACCCCCCGTCACAAACCCAGGTGGCCCAATCCTCTCCATGGTTTGGTCACACTGAACCACAGGATCGAGGACCCGATGTGAGGATGCAAGACCCTTGGACGTACACGTTGCAACAAACGGCAGCGGCGGCAAGCAAAAACGCGGAGCCGAGCAGACAAGGACGCAGGGGTACAGTCAAAGCCGATCATAGGCATGAGCTTGTAAGGATTCAAAGCGTCTAAGACGCACCCAGATGCCAGAGTACGGTTGGGCCGAGTGAGCAGAAAGCATGCAGAGGATGCCCAGAACCCAGGGATGCAAGGATGCTTTGCTTCAATGGCTCATCCTTGACGCCACTGCACCCTGCCTGTCGAAGAAAACTGCATCGCGATGCTGTCACGACTGGACCTCTCGACTCTCGAACGCATTTTTCTTAAGCATTCTCGAGCAGGATCGACTTCAACGGGTCCTGGGGGCCGCCACTCAGGTCCCCCACAGAAAGGACAGAGATGCCGATATCCGTCCAGATTCTCGGACCTCCGACGTCATATCTTCTCGAAAGCGTGACACCCCCATCGACTACAAGGGAGTGACTCCAGGCAAGAGTGACCGTTGGTGAGGGGCTTCAGGGCGGGCTTTAAGGGAGGGGGGGGGGGGGGGGGGGGGCAAACCCCAAGCGCGCAAGCCGCTGCTGTCGCATCGCGTTCAGCGATCGGGAGGCCCCACTGGGCCCGCACCCAAGGTCCTTCCAGCGAGGGACCTCTCTTACGCGCAGACGACCACCCCAGAGTGTTCAGCCTCCCTCTCTCAAGCGCACCCCCGCAAAGGCGCCAGGGGCACGGGGGGGTCGTGCAGCTGCATCTTCTGGTGCGCCAAGTCCCACGCGGGCATCATCTGCTGCGAGTAGAAGCACCACGGCCTTTGCGCCAAGGGAGGAGGAGCACTGGGAGGAGAGAGGCAAAAGGGGTACTGCTCATGCTGAAGATGATTAAGATGATGATGAAGATGAAGATGATGATGAAGAAGATGATGATGATGCTGCTGATGATGATGAAGATGATGACGACGACGACGACGGCGATGATGATGATGACGATGACGAGGATGATGATGACGATGCTGCTGATGATGATAAAGATGGTGGTAATGGTGGTAATGGTGATTACGTGATGCTGCTGCTGATGATGATGGCGATGATGGTGATGACGGTGGTGATACTTATGATCATGGTGCTGATTGAAAGTATGTTGGATCCGATGATCATGATTATGAGAACGATGATGATGGTGATGGTGAAGATGAGGATGCTGATGATGATGATGATGGTGGTGGTGGTGATGATAATGACGATGATGATTATGATGGCGAGAATGCTGATAATGATGATACTGATGAATCTGGTGGTTGTTGTGATGACTATGACCATGATTGTGTTTGAGATTATGCTTGATAATAGGATGATGGTGATGACGATGGTGGTGATAATGATGATGATGATGATGATGATGATGATGATGATGGTGGTGGTGATGATGGTGAGGATTATGACGCTGATGGCGATGACGATGGCGATGACGATGATGATGCTGCTGATGATGATGATGATGAGTGCGGTGGTGATGATTATGATCATGATGACGATTGAGAGGTTGTTTGATCAGAATATGATGATGGTGATGATCATGCGGATCATGATGCTGCTGATGGTGATGGTGATGATGCTGATGCTGATGATGATGATGATGATGATAATGATGATGATGATGGTGGTGATGATGATGATCATAATGATGCTAATGCTAATGATGATGCGGATTATGATGGTGATAGCAACGGTGATGATGATTGTGATGATGATGATAATGTCGAGGAGGAGGAGGAGGAGGAGGAGGAGGATGTAATTCTACCAATCTGATGACGATTGATGACGATTTGGGATGATATTCATACGATGATGAGGGGCGCATCGGATCGGACGAACGGGGAGGTGGCAATAGAGAGGGTGGTAGCGGATCAGCTCACGTAGCTGGTTTTCACGACGCCTCCTGGCGCCGGACTCGCCAATGTGTCGAGGGCGACCAGCGGCGGGGCCGAGACCAGCTAAACGCAGCAGATTTCACAACCCCCGTTTTCCCTGCCCCCCCTGTCGCCCGACCTCAGAAACATGAATTTCTCGCCTTAGCGGCGCGCGCTTCCGTCGTTAGAGTCTGCACCGGCTTCAAGGATGGAGAAGGAGGAGGTGCGGTTTCAAAATGTGGCTCTCGCCTGCGCTCTGCCCGCATTCGTCTCAAATGTCTGCAAAAGCTTCACGGGTTGAGGGCGGTTGCCTTTCACAGTGGGGTTATCGCCTCAGCGCGGCGCATACAGTGAACACGTATAGTAATGACGCGTGGTAAGGACGCAAGACCCTTGGAGGCCGAAGTTGAAGTATTCTGGCCTGCGAAAATTGCTAGGGACGGGCCGCAGAGGCTGAGGCAGGCAAGGACCAAAGGGTACTTTAGTAATGGAAACAATTGGTTTTCAAAATGTTTGGTTTTTAGAAGCTCTGCGTGGCGACGCCCCCGTTGCCACGCGTGCCCTCTGGGTGCCTGCGGGGGAGCCGCCACGTAGAAGTACTGGAGACCGAGCATTTGGGGCGTCGCTACGCACGCCCTCTGCGTGGCTGCGATCATTTGTTAAAACCCTAAAACCAATAAAATTCACTAATGAGGTACCCTTGGAAAAATCGTTTGTCCTTACTGGGAGCGTGGACTGTGTTCGTCTGAAAAGTGTACAAAACCCCCAGGGATGGAGGACGGTGCCCTTTTCAAAACGGGGCTCTCGCTGGAGGCTTCGCTGGGCGCTCGAACACGTGCAGAAGCTGCGCGGCTGGAGGGCGCTTCGTGTTCAGCATGGGGCTATCGTTTGACATACTCTCTGAACACGTGACCCTCGCCATCGCTCGGACGTCCATTCCCTGTGTCTTTTTCGGTTTCGTGCGTGGCTTTTTCGCCAAATGATCAAGGATGCTCCTCGATGGTTCTCGCCGAGAAAAAAATGCACACGTCCGAGCGATGCCAGGGACTAGGGATGCACACGCACACGTGTGCGACCGCTGCACAGAGAGAGGCGGCTCTGTGTTCGAAGCGGGGATATCGCGGGACACCTGGTTGACCCGTGCGGGGAAAAAATCCGGAAGGCATCGGTGCCGCTGCTCCCCGGATCTCTCCCGAGGTGCGCTCGGCCTAAAATTTTGAGGCGAGTCCAGCCGTGGCGACGCATGCCTCCCAGGACCACCCGGGCAGCTCCAGCACGGCCCGTGGGGGGCCATCCAGAAGGATAGAGTTCCCTGGGCGCAGCGAACCCGATGCGGCCTCCCCCCACCATCCCTGTCAACAAAACAATACAAAGTACACTTGGCGGCGGCGGCGGCTGCGGCGGGAGGAGCGGCTGCGGCGGCTGCGGCGGTGGCGGCGGCGGGGGCGGCGGCGGCGGGGGTCCGGTTTCCGCGGAAGGAGGAGATCCTTGGCGAAGGGTTCGGGCACGGGGGGCAGCCCCCCGTGCCCGAACCCCACGCCACTGCGTGTCCGAAGTATTTCCGAAAGCGAAATTATGTACTGTCTCCTTATTCCATCATCGCGATTATTCTCTGCTTCCGTACTCCCTAGCCGCGATCCTATAGTGCTTCCGTATTCCTGTCACAAGTCTGTACTGTTTCTAGACTGCTTCCTTAGATGCCTCAATCGCAATTCAATGCGACTAGTTGTACTGCAGGACCAGGTACACTCCAGGAGCAGCTGCGCGCTGGCACATGATTGTACCAATTGTACCCAAATGCTAGGAGTACTCTAGCGCCGCCAGTGGTCCTGGGTTCAACGGGTCGCCGCGAAAGTGGACCCCCCGCGGAAGGAAGAAAAAAAATCCTGCCGGGGGCGTTGGGGGGTTCAGGCATGAGTAGCAGGGCAAGAAGGGGAAAACAAGAAAAACGTAACAACATCGGTACCTCTTCCTCCTCTGCGCATGACTTTCACCTTTTCGCCTTCCGTACTACTCGGTAGAAGGATGCCAGACAATTCCTCTTCACAACGGGGCTCTCCCGTGTGGTAGGCGTACAATGCGTTGGCCTGCAAGAAGGCGCTCGTAGAATACTGAAAAGGGAAGCTTATCCGGCACCGTTCAGTATGCATTTTGAGGCGTGGAAGAATGCCAAAGGCTGCCTGGTCGAGGTTTGTATATTCTGAAATGCCCGATCTGCATGCACCGCGCACCCTCCCAAGGCCACGATCCCTCATACAAAAAACATGATTCCGCGCTCCCGAGTCCACGATCCGTTGTAAAAAACTTCCATCCGCGCCCCGAGCTTCCAAGACGGCCTCTGCAACCAACCAACCAACCAACCAACCATAGGACACCAAGCCCAAGATGCCTCAAAGCCGGCCCAATATGGCCCCAAGATTGCACCAAGACGGCCCAAAAGGCCTCCAAAGAGGGCCCCAGAAGGCCACAGGAGGACCTCCAGCAGGGTCCGAAGAAGCTACAATCATTGATTTCTGGTGGCTGTTGAGTGATTTTCGCATTCTCGCCTTTTCGAGCGTCCGTAAGCTCAAGGCGGCCCCTGAAGCCTCGACGACGGCCCAAGAGGCGAGATGGCCCATGAGCTCCCACGATGGCCGAAAAAAATCCCAGACGGCCCCAAGACGGCCCACGAGGGCGTCCCGTGGGGCCCACGACGGCCTGAAATGGCCGGTCGACGGCGGTGCGGGGCAATCCCTCGACCCCGTCTTCGTTTGGGGCGTTGACCTATGGAACGCTAAAGAAGGAACGGGGTCCCTTTTTCCATCAGTTGAGCTCCGACCTCCCATCGACAGCCAAAGGAAACCCCAGGGCAAACTGCAACACTTGGAGGCCTGGAAATGGGCACCAACATCAAGACAGGGGGCTGCCTCCACAGGGGGGAGATGATCCTCGCCTTCGGTGTTGGTGGTAATATTTCGGTCACCTTGGAAGCCAGAAAATTACCACCATCACCGAGATCGGGATCTTCTTCCCTCGGTGGAGGAACACCGCCGACATTGGTGTTGGTGTCAACCTCTAGGCCTGCGAAAAACAACGCGGGAGCACGGCGCCCCTCCCGAACGAAAAGGGCTCCTTCTTCGGCGCCCCGACTGCACTCCTCCCACGGGGAGCCCTCCTCGTGGGAGGAGCAGTGCCTCCTCCTCTTCCTCCTCCTCCTCCTCTTCCTCCCCCTCCCTCCTCCTCCCCCTCCCTCCCCCCCTCCTCCCCTCCCCCCTCCCCCCCCCTCCCCCTCCTCCCCCCCTCCTCCTCCTCCTCCTCCTCCTCCTCCTCCCCTCCTCCTCTTCCTCCTCCTCCTCCTCCTCCTCCTCCTCTCCTCCTCCTCCTCCTCCTCCTCCTCCTCCTCCTCCTCCTCCTCCTCCTCCTCCTCCTCCTCCTCCTCCTCCTCCTCCTCCTCCTCCTCCTCCCTCCTCCCCCCCCTCCCCCTCGGGAGGCCCCGCTCGGGAGGCACTGCCTCCTCCCGCGGGGAACCCTCCTCGTGGCCTCCGGGCCGCGGCTCGGACCTCGGGTGGCCGGCCAGGACGAGCCCGGGCCCCCCAGGACGCCCGCGGACGGGGCGCCGCCGACGTCGGGCAGCTTGCCGTCGCTCGGACGTCCATGTCCCGTGCCTTTGTCGGTTTCGTGCGTGTTTTTTCCCAACCCTCCTTGGTTGGGTACTCGTTTTGAATAGAGGGGTGTGGTCGCGTCCTTCTCCCGCCCCCCTGTGGTCTGGTCGCCGTCCCTGGGGGGCTGCGACCTGCGAAACTGTCGCCACTTTCGAGGGCTGCTGGCGGGTCCAGCGGAGTGAGGCACCGCGCGGATCTGAGCAAGACCTCGCCGTGCCTGCGGGGCTGCGATCTGCGAAACTGTCGCTACTTTCAAAGGCTGGTGGCGGGTCCAGCGGAGTGAGGCACCACGCAGATCTGAGCGGGACCTCGCAATCCTTGAAGAGCTGCGAGCCTCACGAATGCCGCTCGCAGAAATATATGAGCCCATGTCACGTCATCACTTCCGTACAACGTCTCCCAAGCTACTCATGCCCCGCATTGCGCAGGGGTTGGGTACGTCGCCAGGATAATTTGTTGTTGCTCGATGGTCCAGGATGGTCCTCAATGGTTCTCGCCGAGAAAAAATGCACACGTCCGAGCGATGCCAAGGGCAGGGACCAGCCGTTCCAGAGTCCTATAGGCGTACCACAGCAGGCTCTCAGAACAAGAGGATGCCCCCCACTAGAAAACACAACGCTCGCAGAACACAGTACCGATGGATGCAAACAAGACTGTCTCAGCCAGAAGTGTTCCAAGAAAATGCCGTCCAACCCACAACAAAAATTCTTAGAACAGTCCCTGCTGGGCATATGGGCAAGTCAGAAACTTCGCCACTGCGTGAACTTCATGGACCTTCACGGGGAACCGAAAACCTGAAACAACAAAAAAGCGGTCGAAACCTCTTCGAAAACCTGCTCGGATCCTGCTTGGCCGATCCTGGAAGCTCCGAATCCCAAAACAGTTGGCGTCTCTTGGGGCGCATCTTTGACTTCCGCCGACTTCCGCCGAGCTTCCGCCGGCGGAACCGCCTGGTTTTACCTCCGCCGCCTTTCACCGCCTCTCCCCCGAGGAAGAGATGGCAACTCCTTTAGAGGCCTCCGAGATGGCGTCCGAGCAAATGGGGTCGGAGGATTGGGCCGCATCGCCGATGCATCGGCGATGCGGCTCGATGTGGAGCCCGACTTTCTCAACGCCGACGTCGCCGACGCGTCGCCAACGCCGCCCATGCGTCGGCGATGCATCGGCGATGTATCGGCGAGGCATCGGCCATGTGGCGCGGTCCTCCGACCCCATCTACTCGAACCCCATCATGGAGGCCTACAGTCAACACGAATAGTGAGGATGGGCAACCTTCCCAAGGGTACCCTTGCATCCTTGCCCCTTCAGCCAAGCCTTAGCGACCTTCGCTGGCCAAGGTCGCTCGAAAAACGTTCACGTGGGCCTCCGAGGCCCTTGCATCCTTACAGCGCATCCTTCTTGTCGGCGCGCAGGAGGAGGGGGAGGGGGAGGGGGAGGGGAGGGGGAGGAGGAGGAGGAGGAGGAGGAGAGGAGGAGGAGGAGGAGGAGGAGGAGGAGGAGGAGGAGGAGGAGGAGGAGGGAGGAGGAGGAGGGAGGCGGAGGAGGAGGAGGAGGAGGAGGAGGAGGAGGAGAGCGAAGAGGAGGAGGAGGAGGAGAAGGAGGAGGAGGAGGAGGAGGAGGAGGGGAGGAGGAGGAGGGGGAGGAGGACAAGCTTGGTGCGCGCGCGTCATATCTGACGTCCGTCCCCTCCCTCCCATCCCTGATCGTGGCGTAGATCTCCTCTCTATTCGCACAGTCGGATGTCGAGCAGGGCAATGATCGCGAGGGGGTGCGCGATGCATCGTAGAGCACGGCATGGCATGGCGTGGCATTACGTAGTGAAGTATTGCATCACAAGGCACACAGCGGCGCAGAACAGAACACCGCACAGCATATCCTGGTAGGGCCCTGGGTTTTTCGGAAGGTAAATAGATAATCTTCGAAGGGTCGGGGCCGGTCTGGAGTCGCGGCTCCATGTTTAGCTCCCTGGGTTCAGCGACAAGCTCCCCACAAGGCGGGGCTCATGGAGAACACCCGCAAGCTCTGCTTTTCACATCGCCTTCTGAAAGCAGAAACGGGGCTCCCGCTTGATACTTCCTCCAAACGCCGCCGCACCGAAATGGGGGAGGGCCTTGTGCGGCCCCAAAGCTCAACGAATCGACAGCAGATGTGTAATCACTTCCGATGCTTTTTTTATCTGGGGGTAATTTTCTAAATTTGGGGCTTACGTTGAAGGACCGAAACCGCCCGCGCTGCAGCGGGAGCACGTTCTGGAACAACCAGAGGCGCAAAAATGGGGCCAACGCTTCAGCGGGAACAACTGTTTGCTAAAAAAGAGAAAACCCAATTCCCGGGAACCCGGGGTAAGCCAAACATCTTCCGGACGTCATCAGGGGAGAGAAGAAAATAGTATTCATATTGTGCCGCGGGTGGCCAAAGGGGCCGGAAGCTGGCCAGGGGATGTACGAGCTCCCATGGGGAGGAGGAATGCGGACTCGCGCCCAGACATGGCGTCCGCCTTGGGGTGTGCGTGGCCATGGCTGCGCCGCGCCTTGCCCTCTCGCCCGCCCCGTCCGCAGATGGGCCGCTCTTTGCTCAGGTCGGGCATGTCCTCCTACAGCCGGCTGTTGGACGAAAAATGGAAAATTATCCAACAGTAACCAAGATTAGTCATCAAAGAGCACGAAAAATCGTCCCCAGACGATGTGTTAACTACTCTTGAGAGTTCTCTTCCTGTAGATGGACATGGCCGACGTAACTCTTCGCCCGCCTCCGGCTGGCCGTGCAGCACGCGGAGGCGTTGCTCCGCATGCTCGAGGCCACGCCGGTGAAAGCGGAAAAAAGCGGGGGGGGGCGCCGAGGAGGCCATGCCGAGCAGCTCGTGAGCCTCGGTCGTCGTCGTCGTCGTCGCCGCCGCCGTCGCCGCCGAGGTCGTAGTCGACGTAGCTGGTCGTCGCCGCCACCGAAAAAACCCTCGGCCGCGAGGGCGCCCGAGGCCCCGGCGCGTAGAAGAGGATGGCGGCGACCGGGTTCTCCTGCGGCGCGGGGGGCAGCGCGCCGCCGCCGCGGCAGGGGCCGGCGCTGCCGGGCAGGCGGGCGGGAGGAGAGGGAGGGAGGCACACGGGGAAGAACGAGAGGAGGAGGGGAGGAAGGGAGAGAGGGGGAAGGAGGAGGGGGAGGAGGGAGGGAGGGAGGGAGGGAGGGAAGGAGAGGGGGAGGACGAGGGAGGAAACGACGAGGGAGGGAGTGAGGGAGGGGAGGGGACAAGCTGGGTGCGTTCGCGTCATATCTGACGCCCTACCCCTCCATCCCATTCCTTACCACGGCGTAGGTATCGTCTCTAAGTGCACAACCGGATGTCGAGCAGGGCGATGATCGCGAGAGGGTGCGCGATGCATGGTAGAGCACGGCATGGCATGGCGCAGACGAGCACGGCAGGGCGTAGAAAGTCACAGCATGGCGTGGCATTATGTAGCGACGTAATGTATCACAGAGCGTTGCAAGGCAAAGCATGGCATCGGACAACGGCGCAGAACACAACACCGCACATCATGTCATTGCATGGCGCTGGGCTCCTTGGAAGGTGAGTAGATCGTCTTCGAGACGTCTGGGCCGGTCTGGAATCGTGGCTCCACGTCTAGTTCCTTGGGCTCCCCGAAAAGCTCCACACAAGGCAGGGCTGATGGCGAGCATCCGCTGGCTCTGCTTTCAACATCACCTTCTCAAAGCAGAAACGGGGCTCCCGCTTGATACTTCTTGAAAACGTCGACTGCGGCCCTAAAAATCAACGAATTGTCACCGAATATGTATTCACTTCCGATGGTTTCTTCGGGGGGGGGTATTTTCTAGATGTTTGGGCCGATTTGGAAGGACCGAAAACGCCCGCGCTGCAGCGGTAGCACGATTTAGGACAACCAGAGGCGCAGAAATGAGGCCAACGCTTCGGCGGGAGTAACATTTGGAATAGAAACAACATGAAAACCCATTTCCATGGAATCCTGTGTAGAATGCAGTGCGCGGAGGGGGCAGGACATCTTCCGGACGTCATCAGGGGAGAGGGGAGAATAGTATTCATATTGTGTAAGTGTTGAGGGCGGTACAGTGGATGGAGGGACGTGGGAAGGACGAGGGAGGGAGGGAGGGAGGATGGAGGATGAGGACCGGAGAAACCCCAAGACGGAACAGCGATGCTGCAACACGCTCTCCTGTCTCGAGTCCCCACCTCCGCAGGAGCCCACGGGAGTCTGACGTGCGTCCCAATGCGGGCAGCGCCCACCTTGACAGACGAACGCTTCTTGGGCCTACCGTGCAGGCGAGACCCCGTTTCGCACAGGATCCACCTTCCATCCTTGTCCTTCTCGCTATAAGAAACAACCTCCTAACGCTCACGAGAACTCCATCCTGAAAAAGATGTCCTCTACCCGTGTAAGCTTCAGACAACCTCAAAGGTACTGCCCTAAATCTGGGGATGTCTCAAACGATAGCTCCATTAACAGACGAGGTACGCCCTCCATCCGTGCAACTGGTGCACAAGTCTGAACGTCGGATCGTCCGCTGAGTCAAGAGGCGTGCCGCATCAAACGCTGAACCCTCCCCTTACACAATATCCTCTCGCGTTCCCCTCCTCTCTCCTCTCACTTAACTACAGAAAAACTTCATAAACATAAAATGTTGGCGCTCCGCGCGGATTTCTTGGATCTGCGCTGGACCTCCCTCCCTGGCGCGCGGAGCGCGCCAGGGGCGGCGCCGGAGGCGCCGCCAGGGGGCGCCTAGCGCAGATCCAAGAAATCCGCGCGGAGCGCCAAACAATTCTATGTTTATGCCGGCTTTTCTCCTTCGAATAACGCCTGTTCGCTTGCTCTCGCCGCCCTGCCTGCTCTTCCGCCGCTTTCGGCACGGGACTCGCCCGAGGCCCCCCGCCCCGACCGTCCCCCACGCCTCGAGACCGCTGGCGCATGGCCAAAAGGTGGGCCGAGAACCAAGGATGCAAAAAGGGCACCCTTGGAGAGCGCGTTCCACTACTTGCAAAGTAATTACTCCCTCGCGGGGGATCTGCGATAAATCATATCACAGCAGACGGGTGTTTTTCGGACGCTTGCGAGTAGGCACTTTGCGAGTAGTGGAACGCGCTCGGCGACCCATGAGAAGCTCGTGACGGGTAGCCCCCGCATGAAGGGAATGATGGGCTCCCAGACGGATTCGCCCACTGCGGCGAGGAGCTGTTGCCTGCACGGGGCGTCGCGGCGGCGGCACCCTGCGACACGGCACGCCCTGCAAGCTGCTGACGTCGTGCCGCTCCGCGTCGTGGCACGGGACCCTGGGAAGAGCTCGGAACGCTGACGCTCGGGACCCGGGACGTGCTCCGCGTGCCGCGACGAAGCGCGGCGCGCCAGATGAGCATCGGTGAAACGATACTGACCCGAACCGGCGGCGCGGCACGCGGAGCAAGCGCCCCGGACCGCAGCCCCGCTCCGCGCGCACCCCCCACCCTCTGCGAGCTCCGCGATCGTCGGGTCGGGCGAAAGGGGGAGGGTCAGCGACTCGGCCCACGCAGCTGCTCTCCAGCGGCAGGACCGTCACCGGCTGCACGCCGCAATTTTCCTACCCCCGCCCCATTCCCTCTCCACACCTTTTTGAGCAGGGACCGACCGTCACGGCATTCCTATAGAGTAGGCCTACCGCGAGATCTTCTTGGAACCCAGAAATGTTCTTAGAACAAAAGCAATGTTCTTAGGACGTAAGCCCGATGTGTTGAAACAAGACAGTCTCAGCCAGAACTGTTCCAAGAAAACTTCGTGCAGACCACAAGGGAATCCTTAGAGAACATTCCTGGGTGGGCTGCTCGATACCCCCCCTTTCCCTCCCCCCCCCTGCGTCCGGCCCCGGGGGGGTCTGTGCCCCCCCCGCGAGACGCAGCAACGCCCCCACCCCCCCCCGGGCGCCAGGCAGACAACCACGAGTCGGCTAGACGCAAGAGTGACCCTGGGCAAGAGTGACCTTTGGTGCGCGGCTCTTTGGGGGCCGCAGGGGGACCAAACCTGGGCGCGCAAGCCGCTGCTTCCGCTTCGTTCTCAGCCATCTGAGGGCCCATCTGTGCCCGCACCAAAGGTCACTCCGGCGAGAGGTCACTCTTACGTCTAGTCGAACGAGAGACCGCCCAGGACGGTCCCCAAGGCCCAGGGCGGGCCCAGGGCGGGCCTCCCGCCGGCAGCGTCCAGGTCGACCTCGGGCCCCGAGGCCCCTCCGAGGCCTGAAGAGCTGGGCCCTCCTCGTCCTCCGCTTCCCCGCCTCCACCCCCTCAGAGCCACAGCCCCCCCCCTCTCCGAGACGCCGGGGGTCTGGGCTCTCATCATCATCTCCGTCCTCGTCCTCGTCGTCGTTCTCTCCTCCTCCTCCTCCTCCTCCTCCTCCTCCTCCTCCTCCTCCTGATCCTGCTCCTCCTCCTTCTCCTCCTCCTCCTCCTCCTCCTCCTGCTCCGCCTCCTGCTCCTCCTCCTGCTCCTGCTCCTGCTCCTGCTCCTTCTCCTGCTCCTGCTGCCCTCCTCCTGCTTGCTGATCCTGCTCATGCTCGTACTCTGGCCGAAGCGAAGGCAGCGCCGAGCGGGCCCTCGAGGGCGCCACCACAAAGTCCCGCCACACGCCCCGAAACAGCCAAAAAGGGCCCCCAGAGGCTGCCGTTCCTTCCTCCCGCGCGTCCTCTCAGCCTCTTGGTCCACG